AGTCTGCTCCTACCTCTGCCTCTCACCCTGCTCATGCTCTCTTTTTCGCTCTCTTTCTCAAATAAAATCTTTGAAATAAATAAATCTAAAAACAAAACAAAACTACCTGACCTCTTTAAAAAAAATAAACTATTACCAATTTTAAAAATATACGCTGTTATCTAAATATAATGACAAACGGATCATAAAAATCCATGAAAGGAAGAAAGTTCTTTAGTTTCTGCCATTATTTATCATAAATAACTGACAAACCTTCCAAAACAAATCATGAACTTAGAATTAAAAAAAACCTGCTAACTACTATTCCAAAGGACGGCTATACCTGACTTCTCTCTATGGTGTAGGTCAGGGTTAAACCGCATTCCACAACCTCTGTAATTTGCAAAAACCTTCACTAGAGATTTTCTTCCTGCTTCCTATTTTGCAAATTTTAAAATTTTACATTACATACATTTCTTAATATTTTAAAGGAAAATAAATTTACCTAAAGTCTGCAGAATTATGCTTTCTAATATCACCAGATCTTGAACTTGTTGCAGGTAAGCCTGCAGGTGAGAAGACAGATAAATTATTCCCCAAAAAGGCACAATATATAAAGTGTAAACAATTCTAAGTCCTTCCAAGAAAACCAAAGCAACAAAAGGCAGGGATGAAGTTAAGAGGTAGCCTAGGAACTGAAATGTAATCCTTCTCTCTTTAGCACAAATTTTCCTCTTAAAAGAAGAAAAAAAGTAATATATTAAGAAATAATACTTTATTCATAATTAGCTACCAAAAAGGCACCAGAGATTTGGTTCATTTTCAAGACTAACATTTTAGGTTTTAAAATCATGTGATGTAGACACAAGATAATTAAAAATACATACACCTTTTTTCAACATCATCAAAATACATTTGTAGACCCTACAGTACTGCAGGCACTCTCAAACATCTGACTCCTGACGAACCTTCCCATCTGAGGTAATGCTAGATGTCTAAGAATTAGAACAAGAGTTCAAAGGAAAAGGGAATAAACAACAAAAATTTCTCTGATTTGTACCAGCCAATACTGTAGCCACTACCCATACATGGCTACTGAGCACCTGAAATGTAGCTAGACTAAATTGAGATGTGCAATAGAATATACGACAAATTGGGGCGCCTGGGTGGCTCAGTTGGTTAAGCATCTGCCTTTGGCTCAGATCGTGATCCCAGAGTCCTAGGATCAAGCCCCGTATCAGTGGAGTTTGCTTCTCCCTCTCTCTTTGCCCCTCCCCCGCTCATGCTCACGCACGAGCTCTAATAAAATCTTTGTTTTTTTTTAAAGATTTTATTTATCTGACAGAGAGAGACACAGCGAGAGAGGGAACACAAGCAGGGGGAGTGGGAGAGAGAGAAGCAGGCTTCGCACCGAGCAAGGAGCCCGACACGGGGCTCAATCCCAGGACCCTGAGATCATGACCTGAGCCGAAGGCAGATGCTTAACCATCTGAGCCACCCAGGCGCCCGAAAAATAAGTCTTTTAATACCATAAGTATTGGGACACCTGGGTGGCTTAGCTGGTTAAGCATCTGACTTTGACTTGGGTCATGATCTCAGAGTCCCAGGATGGAGCCCGGTGTCAGGCTTCCCCACTCAGCAGGGAATCTGTTTGTCCCTCTCCCTCCGCCCCTCCCCTGGCTCATGCGTGCTCAGTCACACACATGCATACTTTCTAATAAATAAAATCTTTAAAATAAATAAATAAATACCGTAATTATTGCAGAATCCTCCAAATTAGATTCTTAGTCACTATCGACCCCAAGTTTACCTAAACTTACAGAACCATGCTCTTGGATTATTTTTTTAATTATTTTTTTTAGATTTTATCTTTAAGTAATCTCTACACCCAATGTGGGGCTTGAACTCAGGACCCTGAGATCAAGAGTTACATGCTGTCCCAACTGAGCAGCCAGGCACCCCTGCTCTTGGACATTTTAAAGCAAAGGAAGACATGCAGAATCGAGTATACTTTCAAACAGTCAGTACTACATAATTACATCATCTTAGCAAATTAAAAAGCACAATGGAAATTTAAGGTAAAATATAAAAACTGTACAGAAAAATCAACAGTTCCCAGAGAATTGTCTGTAATGCACTGTATCAACAATCCAACCTGGGTCTTTCGGTTCTCGTTTACTAAGTGCTAGACCTGATATCTTTCCATATACCCCCCAAAAAGTGACAATTCCAACCCAAGTAAAGCCCTATCCCAAAAATAGAAGGGAAAAATATTAAAATATAAACCTGTTGGTTGCCATGAAGTAAGAAGTCTGTGCTAAGTCCTTGCTTGCTAAAAAAAAAAAAAAGGGAGGGAGGGAGAGGGAAAAAAGTTATTAGTTCCATTCATTCTCCATTATTTAGTGAGCATTTAATATTTCCAAATAGAGAACATAATAACGAATAAGGCAGACTTGGTCCCTGACCACCTGATGTTTAACATTCTACAAAAGAAGACAAATCAGCAACTTTTAATTATAATAATTATGCTGCTTCCAGACCTAGGAACTCAAGCCTTTACACTGCACACAAAGTATTTGAAATACTTGTTTAAAATGCAATTCCTGGACATCCTTCCTAGAGTGTGACTCAGTATGTTTAGAGAAGGACACATGCATTTTTAACAGGTAACCTAGAAATTCTGATGCAAGGGTTCACTGAAAAATACTGAACTAGAAGATGAACTAATTTGGAGGCAAGATCAGACCCAGAATACCTTTGTATATTTGGGAAAAGTGATCTGTGCTTAAAAAAAATTTTTTTAATGGAGTAGCCTGTGATTCAGACCCCAAAACGTCAAATAACATAAATTACTTGATATACCACAATGAAGAAGAAAAAAAAAAATACAGCTACTCTTTCCCAAAAAACTGCTCTGGGTAATAAAGTAAATTTTTAATTTTCCTTAAAACTCAGTCTTTTCAATATCAGCATATATCTACCTTTGTTTAACCTTATCCTTGCTCAATGTAAACCTTCTAATGCTTTCTAAATATATCCTTAAACTGCTATTAGATACTTGTCATTTGACTTTATGAAATCTGCTCCAGGCTCTGACAAACATTGTCAAGAGGCTAATTCTAACTGAAGATCACCTAAAAACTTTAAGAACCCAGCAGAAAAATCCCAAGTTAGAAAGACTCATTTTGACTTAAGCCAGGTAATCCTTTCAATTTAACTTCTAGCCAAAGCAGCTATGTTATATATTTGTCCACCATAAATAAATCATAGCCATTAAATGGTAAAACAATTTAAGACAGCCATTTCAAGTTGGGATTCCTTACCTCGAACCAGTTGAGTGCACTTTACCACATGTGTATGTGGGTGATCAATTGTTAGTTCAAAGCCTAAAAAAAAAAAAGTACTTTAGTTAAAAAGCTAAAGATACTGGAGTCATTTTATACTTCTTTTATCTGAGTCATCATTAAAGGCCTCCCTCATTTTCCTCTCCCAAAATTACTGTTCAGAGGCTAAGAGGGTCACATAACACATATAGCACACTCTTCTCTAAGACATATTATCTTCACAGACAATCATATTTTGCACTAAATGATAAAGCTAATGCAGTCTCAAGACCCCTGAGGAACCAATAATCTCTAAACAGAAAATTATTTTCAATGGACAAATGATTCATGCAAATTAGATCTAACTGGCTTCCACATTAAAATATTAAAATTTATTCCACCAGAAAGATATCATTTCCCCCTAAAATACAGTTACTCTGAAGATAATTTAAAGTAAAAAGGTAATTAACAGAAATTAACTTCAGAGATAAACTCTGAGTGCTCACTTTGGCAGCATATATGCTAAAAAAAAAAAAAAAAGATAAGCCTTGAAGAATTGTGTATACAGACAAAAAATAAAATACAGGTGTACCAACACAACTCATACCCAGAGAAGAGAACAACAGCCCAAGAGAACTAGAAAAAAATCTTTATTTTCCAAATTTGCTAAGGTTTTAAAATAGTATCTCTGATAAAAATAATAATAGATAATCATCAGGGTTGCCCATCAACCGCTAGCGCTGAAATTTCTCCACCTCCTCTCTGCTGTTCTAAACACTGATTAGAGGTGTGCCTGGGTGCTCAGTCCACTGAGCATCCAGCTCTTGGTTCCGGTTCAGGTCATGATCTCATAGGTTGTGAGATAGAGCCCCATGGAGCCCCGGGGTAGGAAGTGTGTTTGAAGATTCGCTCCCTCTGCCCCTCCCTCCACGCAGCTGCGCACCCGTGCGCACTTGTTCTCTCAAATAAATAAATCTAGGGGCACCTGGGTGGCTCAGTCCGTTAGGCGTATGCCTTCAGCTCAGGTCATGGATCCTGGAGTCCCACATATGGCTCCCTGCTCAGCGGGGAGTCTGCTCCTACCTCTGCCTCTCACCCTGCTCATGCTCTCTTTTTCGCTCTCTTTCTCAAATAAAATCTTTGAAATAAATAAATCTAAAAACAAAACAAAACTACCTGACCTCTTTAAAAAAAATAAACTATTACCAATTTTAAAAATATACGCTGTTATCTAAATATAATGACAAACGGATCATAAAAATCCATGAAAGGAAGAAAGTTCTTTAGTTTCTGCCATTATTTATCATAAATAACTGACAAACCTTCCAAAACAAATCATGAACTTAGAATTAAAAAAAACCTGCTAACTACTATTCCAAAGGACGGCTATACCTGACTTCTCTCTATGGTGTAGGTCAGGGTTAAACCGCATTCCACAACCTCTGTAATTTGCAAAAACCTTCACTAGAGATTTTCTTCCTGCTTCCTATTTTGCAAATTTTAAAATTTTACATTACATACATTTCTTAATATTTTAAAGGAAAATAAATTTACCTAAAGTCTGCAGAATTATGCTTTCTAATATCACCAGATCTTGAACTTGTTGCAGGTAAGCCTGCAGGTGAGAAGACAGATAAATTATTCCCCAAAAAGGCACAATATATAAAGTGTAAACAATTCTAAGTCCTTCCAAGAAAACCAAAGCAACAAAAGGCAGGGATGAAGTTAAGAGGTAGCCTAGGAACTGAAATGTAATCCTTCTCTCTTTAGCACAAATTTTCCTCTTAAAAGAAGAAAAAAAGTAATATATTAAGAAATAATACTTTATTCATAATTAGCTACCAAAAAGGCACCAGAGATTTGGTTCATTTTCAAGACTAACATTTTAGGTTTTAAAATCATGTGATGTAGACACAAGATAATTAAAAATACATACACCTTTTTTCAACATCATCAAAATACATTTGTAGACCCTACAGTACTGCAGGCACTCTCAAACATCTGACTCCTGACGAACCTTCCCATCTGAGGTAATGCTAGATGTCTAAGAATTAGAACAAGAGTTCAAAGGAAAAGGGAATAAACAACAAAAATTTCTCTGATTTGTACCAGCCAATACTGTAGCCACTACCCATACATGGCTACTGAGCACCTGAAATGTAGCTAGACTAAATTGAGATGTGCAATAGAATATACGACAAATTGGGGCGCCTGGGTGGCTCAGTTGGTTAAGCATCTGCCTTTGGCTCAGATCGTGATCCCAGAGTCCTAGGATCAAGCCCCGTATCAGTGGAGTTTGCTTCTCCCTCTCTCTTTGCCCCTCCCCCGCTCATGCTCACGCACGAGCTCTAATAAAATCTTTGTTTTTTTTTAAAGATTTTATTTATCTGACAGAGAGAGACACAGCGAGAGAGGGAACACAAGCAGGGGGAGTGGGAGAGAGAGAAGCAGGCTTCGCACCGAGCAGGGAGCCCGACACGGGGCTCAATCCCAGCACCCTGAGATCATGACCTGAGCCGAAGGCAGATGCTTAACGACTGAGCCACCCAGGCGCCCCATAAATAAAATCTTAAAAAAAAAAAAAAGAATATATGCCAAATTTTGAAGACTTAATTTAGAAATAATAATGTAAATGACCTCATTAATGTTTTAATATTGATTTTACATTGAAATGACAATATTTGGGATTAAATAAAACATATTAATAATAATATATTCCAATTAATTTCACTTTTGTTTTTTTAAAGATTTTATTTATTTATTTGAAAGAGACAGCACAAGAGAGTGAGCACAAGCAGGGGGGAGGGGCAAAGAGAGAGGGAGAAGCAGGCTCCCCACTGACCAGGGAGCCCGATGTGGGGCTCCATTCCAGGACCAGGACCCCAGGATCATGACCTGAGCTGAAGGCAGACACTTAATGGACTGAGCCACCCAGGGGCCCCAATTTCACCTTCTTTTAAATGAAGATTTTATTTCTAATGAAGATTTTAAATGAAGTTCAATGAAAAGTTAGTATTTTTTATTTATACATGACTCCCTCTATATTTCTATTGGACAGCACTAGTCTAGAACTTTAGGAAAATGAGACTTGGGGCAGGAGTTAGATCTATATTGTAGTGAACTTTCCACCTAACTTTACAATCTTGAACTAAGTCCAATAAGGACTTAAACTATGCTAGTACTCCTTTCCATATAGTGAATAAAATATTTTCCTCTAAGATTCCCCATCTCACGAGGAATAGAAACTCGGGTAAGAAATTATATAAATATACTTCAGAGAAAAAAAGTGAGAACTATTTTTTGTTTTACTTTGTTAAAACAAAATTTCGTTTCATTTGGTCAGTTCTACGGACCAATGGCATTTACTAGTCTAAAACCTAAATAAAAATCCAGGGCAATAACTTTGAACAAGAGCTACTGCTGTACGTGAGAGAAAACAAAGGGAAGTCAAGACAGTATTTTGTGAAACAACTCACATAATTAGGAACTATTATCAAAATAAAGGGGCGCCTGGGTGGCTCAGTCAGTTAAGTGTCTGACTTATGACATCAGCTCAGGTCATGATCTCAGGGTTGTGGGAATCCACATTTCACAGGAAGTCTGCTTGAGATTCTCTCCTGCCCCTCCCTGCACTCTCTCTCCTCTCAAATAAATATATCTATAAACAAACAAGCAAACAAATAAATAAAATAAAAACAACCCCCTAAAAGAACCACTTTCTCCAATATAATGAAAACGTGCAAATTTATTTACCTATCTGATAAAGGATGACTCATGCATCCATCGTAAGAGACTTAAATAATCTATTAACAGAAATCCAGAGTTTAAACACTTATAAATGTCAGACCTCAAAATTTCTCACAATTCATCACTCCCCAACAACAGACTTCTAAAGCCAGGACAGTTTCCCATCTTTAAGAAAGTCAAGGAAGGATGGAAGGAAAAAAAGCTGTATGTACATGCAAAAGATAGAGGTCTGACAGAACATATACTGGAATTACAATCAGCAGTATCCTGCTAGGAGGAAGGAGAGATGGGCTTTAACTTTTACTTCAAATGATTCTTAAATGTTTGGGTTCTTCTATAAATAAGCATATATAACTTTTGTAATTTCTTTAAAAGTTAAAAAAAAAATGAGAGGACTCATTTTTTTTCAAGAGTCCATACAAAAATTTATTGGTAAGAATATTATTCATGGAACACCTGGGTGGCTCAGTCAGTTTAGCATCTAACTTCAGCTCAGGTCATGATCTCAGGGTCCTGGGATCGAGGTGAGTCTGCTTGTTCCTCTGCCCCACCCCAGCTCGTGGGCTCTCTTTTTCAAATAAATAAAATCTTAAAAAAAAAAAGAAAAGAAAATGGAGAATAAAATGGGAAAGTATTTGCAATATAATAAGTAGAAAAGACATACAAAATACATACATGTGTAGCTATTCATAGAAAAGCAGCTAGAAATAATGATTCACTTACATACCCGTGGTCCAAATTATATGTAGCTAATACATTTTCTTCTTTGTTTTTCTGTATTTTCCAATTTTTCTATAATGAATACAGTTAAGTTTTGCCATAAAGTTTCTAATGTTTTTGTAAAGGAAAAACAAAAACTAAAAATTTAACAGCCCCCATTCAGACTTCAGTAAATCAAAATTACAAAACTAATCTATCATCAAAATAAATAAAAACAGTTATGTATAATTAATCACCTACCTCACTCCTAGTATCAGGAAGTGATTCCTGCGGATGGAGACAAGCATGTGCTACCTTGATGACGTGTTCCAATTTTTTTGGTTGCTCCTCTACTTTAGCCGCTAGAAATAAGGCCGCTGGAGCCACAGACTGGATGGAGAGAAAATAAATCACATTTATTACTTATTCCTAGATCAAGGTAGATCTAAAAAAGAACTGTCTCAAACCAAATTCCCTGCTTTCCTCAACTTCATCACTTCTCGTTAATGCCTTTTCTTCTCCTTAAAATGTCTTCCCCTCTCCTATCCGTTAATCTACATCCACTCCCAAAAACCAATCCTTCAACAAACTCTCATTAAAAGCTATCTATGTGAGGGCGCCTGGGTGGCTCAGTTGGTTGGGCAACTGCCTTCGGCTCAGGTCATGATCCTGGAGTCCCACGATCGAGTCCCGCATCGGGCTCCCTGCTCAGCGGGGAATCTGCTTCTTCCTCTGACCCTCTTCCCTCTCGTGCTCTCTATCTCTCATTCTCTCTCAAATAAATAAATAAAATCTTTAAAAAAAAAGCTATCTATGTGAGAAACTACTAGATGTAAATAGTTGGCTTTCTATTTAAAATGAGGTTCTTGGTGCACCTGGGTGGCTCAGTCCTTAAGCGTCTGCCTTCGGCTCGGGTCATGATCCCAGCGTCCTGGGATTGAGCCCCGCATCGGGCTCCCTGCTCAGCGGGAAGCCTGCTTCTCCCTCTCCCACTCCCCCTGCTTGTGTTCCCTCTCTAGCTGTGTCTCTGTCAAATAACTAAATAAATAAAATCTTTAAAAAAAAATAAAATAAAATCAGGTTCTTTCTTAAGTTTATATTATATCATAACCCTCTATATACTTTTTTTTTTTAAGATTTTATTTATTTATTTGACAGAGACACAGCTAGAGAGGGAACACAAGCAGGGGGAGTGGGAGAAGGAGAAGCAGTTCCCGCTGAGCAGAGAGCCCGATGCGGGACTCCATCCCAGGACGCTGGGATCCTGACCCGAGCCGAAGGCAGATGCTTAACGACTGAGCCACCCAGGCACCCCTCTATATACTTTTTTTTAAAGGAGCAAATTGAAAGTAGATTAAGAAAAGGAAAATGGGAGTGACCACTAATGTATTAGAAGTTTCTTTCTAGGGCAATGTAAATTTTGTGGAATCAGATCATGGTGATGGTTGCACAACTTTATGAATATATTAAAAACCATTGAATTGGGGCACCTGGATGGCTCAGTCGGTTAAGAGTCCGACTCTTGGTTTTGGCTCAGGTCATGATCTCAGGGTCATGGGATCGAGCCCCATGTCCACCTCCATGCTCAGCAAGGAGTTGGCTTGATATTCTTTCCCCCTGCCTCTCCCTCCCCCTCTGCTCCTCCCCCTGCTCAAGTGTACTCGCTCTCTCTAAAATAAATAAGTAAAATCTCTAAAAACAACAAAAACCCAGCGTACTGCACACTTTAGAAGGATAAATTTTTTTTAAAGATTTTATTTATTTATTTGAGAGAGAGCATGAGAGAGAGCACAAGAGTGAAGAGGGTCGGAGGGAGAAGCAGACTCCCTGCTGAGCAGGGAGCCCGATGCGGGACTTGATCCCGGGACTCCAGGATCATGACCTGAGCCGAAGGCAGTTGTTTAACCAACTGAGCCACCCAGGCGCCCAGGATAAATTTTATTGTATGTGAATTATCTCAAATATACTTATAAATGGGGGGAGCACAAATCTTATTAAAGAGAATTCAAAAAATAATATTATATTCAAGATGTTATACAAAGGCACCCAGGGAAAAAAAAACTCAAGCCAACACACAAGTACACAACAAATTCAGTCACTAAACAATATAAGAGATTAGAGCAATATGACATAAATGTAGCCTGGTAATGATCTGGGAAATCTCAGGAAGAACTTCTATTGAATCTTAAGAAGAATATTTCAATGAATCAAAGATGGCAATGACAAGAACCAGGAGTCAAAGAAATATAATAAATAATTTTATATAATTTAAATATCTATTTCACTTTACTGGGCAGAACTAACAAGCATTCTAATACTTATTTATATCCCTGCTGCTATATGCTATTTTGCTGGAAGAGATTTTTATCCACAAATCCAATTCACAGGAACAATTCACTTTCTTCATATTTGTTGCAGCTGTATGAGGCAAACTCCATATATATGCCTAGACCTTAGGATAAGCAAAGCAGAACCAGAGGAAGATGGGCATGAACAAGATGTGAGGAATCAGAGCAAGAAGCACACTAAATTGAGTAGGTGACATAGAGAATGGGATGTGGAACACAAAAGATCTTTAGCAAGAGAGTGACACTAAAGATTTTAGAGAAAAGTACATAATTTAAGAAACATTTACAAATACATATCCAGGGGCGCCTGGGTGGCTCAGTCATTGAGCATCTGCCTTTGGCTCGGGTCATTGTCCTGGAGTCCCCATCAAGCCCCACAGGACTCTCCTCTTGGAGAGGAGTCTGCTTTTCCCTCTGCCCCTCCCCCCACTCTGCTCTCGCGTGCGCACGCGCTCTCTCTCTCAAATAAAATCTTGAAGGAAGGAAAGAAGGAAGGAAGGAAGGAAAGGAAGGAAAGAAGGAAGGACAGACAAAACATATCTGGTCCTAGGAAGGACTAAAAGGAGGAAAGAATGAAACGCATTAAAAGTTATTTAAAAAAGAAAAAAAAATCGCAATCCAGGCATTAAAAAAATAAAGATAAGAGTAGGCATTAGCAGTAGAAAAACAGGGGGGAAAACCACAGGCATGATTTTAGAAAATTAATAGGGCTTCACTAAATCTATGTGTATGTATTTGCATACAAAGAAAAAAAATTCTAAAATGTCAACAGGATTATCGCTGAGCAGTTAGCTACAGGAATATCATCATTTCCTCCTTTATTCTATTTTAAAAAAAGATTTTATTTATTTATTTGACAGAGAGAGAGAGAGTGAGAGCAGGAACACAAGCAGGGGGAGTGGGAGAGGGAGAAGCAGGCTTCCCACCGAGCGGGGAGCCAGACGCCGGGCTCGATCCCAGCACCCTGAGATCATGACCTGAGCCGAAGGCAGATGCTTAACCAACTGAGGCCATCCAGGCGCCCCTCTCTGTCTTCTTTTAATCTTATGATGACTATATACAGAAAAAACAGTTAACACTAAAAATTAACAGGACTTTGTAACTGATTGGAAAAATCAGGAAGGAAAAGAACTACTTAAAGACACGACTAAGATTTTTAGCCTACAACTTTGCCTTCAAGGAGCTAAAAATATATTCAAAAGGCACAAACTAAGGGGCGCCTGGGTGGCTCAGTTGGTTGGGCGTCTGCCTTCGGCTCAGGTGGTGGTCCCGGGGTCCTGGGGTCGGGCCCTGCGTCGGGCTCCCTGCTCGGCAGGAGCCTGCTTCTCCCTCTCCTCCTGGCTTGTGCTCTCTCTCATTAGCTCTGTCACTGTCTGTCTCTCTCTCTCAAATAGATAAATAAAATCTTTAAAACAAGAAAAAAGGCACAAACTAAAATATGGTATACAAACAATGGCTAAGAAGGCAAGATAATAACTCATTAAGTGAAAGATAAATTTCAGTTTAATTTTTGCACAGTCAACCATGTAAATACTCATTGCTCCTCATGCAATCACTTACCAAGCCAGTTTACCAAAGCATTTTCCTATCAAAGGCAATTTCTAAGAGGAATTCTTACACCAGATAAGAATATAAGATTTTCTCCATTTTAAAATAAAAATGCCACCCAATATTTATGTTATGTACAAGCACTTTGTAAATTAATTAATTTAAATATTAACTACTGAGGCGCCTGGGTGGCTCAGTTGGTTAAGTGTCCAACTCTTGATTTTGGCTCAGGTCATGATCTCAGGATCGTGGGATCAAGCCCCGAGTTGTGCTCCTGGGCTCCGCACTCAATGGGGAATCTGCTTGAGATTCTCTCTCCCTCTCCCTCTGCCCCTCCCCTGCTCGTACTCTAATAAATAAATAAATAAATCTTATTAACTACTCTAGGAGATAGGCACTATTACTGACTCCAAAGAGATGAGAAAACTGACGCCTATGGTAACTTACCCGAAGCCATATAACTAGTAAGTGCAAAAAATCCAAACCTAGACATGTCTGACTCCAAAGCCCATTCTCTTAACCACTAAGCTTGACCCCTTAAGGATAAGCTAACCAGAATACACCCAAAACAAATCTGTTAGGTATTACAATATAACACCCAATTTTATAATATATGAAATACTACATAAACACACCAAATTGCTCACCATTAATTTTACACTCCCTCATTTGAAAATATTTAAGACAGTACATTTAGAGATACAATTCATGAAGTTAAATTTCTTCTCAAAAAGAGTAATACAATGCCAAAAATTAAATGAAAATTAATCACTCATTTAATCATGTCCACTAAAGAAATAAAATTTATTTCCATTGAAAAACAAGTTCTTTACTTTCCAGGGTGTTGGAAATATACTTTATCTTGATCTGAGTGGTGGTTACATATACATACAATAATAATAATACTAATGCAAAAAGTAATCAAGTTGCACACTTCAGATTTTTGTGCTTTACTGTTAAACCTAAAACACTATGAACAAAGAAATAGAACAAAATGAAAAAAGTATTCACAATACATGAAATACAGCTCTAATACATGAGCTCATATAAATAAGAAAAGCAAAATAAAAGAGGAGCAAAGAGAATCAACAGTCAATTTTTAAGTCAATTCTTCAATTTCATGAGAACAAAGACCTAATAGGTGTAAGAAGCTCAACTTCACTAATTGAAAAAAATGTAAATTAAGAAAATAATTTAGGATGCCCTCTATCTTGTTCACCATTGTATCCCAAGTGCTCAACAAGTAGTTAAAACTTAATGGTGGCTCAGTTGTTAAGCGTCTGCCTTCGGCTCAGGTCATGATCCCAGGGTCCTGGGATCGAGCCCCACATCGGGCTCCCTGCTCAGCTGGAAGCCTGCTTCTCCCTCTCCCACTCCCCCTGCTTGTGTTCCCTCTCTCGCTATCTCTGTCTCTGTCAAATAAATAAAATCTAAAAAAAAAAAAACTTAGTATTTCCTGATGTAATAAATATTTGTGAGGATGCAGAGAAAAGGACCTTCTCTTACAGTGCTCGAAACAATGTATACTGATAAAATCTTTCAGTAGGGCAAACTGACACAACAAAAATCTTTTAAATGCAGCCCTGTGGACACAGTAATTTTACCTATAGGAATTTATATTAGAACAGTCATGTGAGTCATACACCTTATGTACCAATTTTATATAACATTATTTATAATTACTAAACTAGAAACAACCCAAATATCCACCAACAGGGAGGTGAAATAAATTATGGTAACTACACAAAGAAACACTATGTGGCCATTTAAAATACAGCTGACCCTTGAACAACACTGGTTTGAACTGTGTTGGTCCACTTATACGCAGATTTCTTGTCTATAAATACAGTACAGTACTGTAACTGCATTTTCTCTTACGATTTTCTTAATATTTTCTTTTCTCCAGCATACTTTTTTGAAAGGATACGGTATATGATACATATAACATACAAAATATGTGTTAATTATATTATTGGTAAGGCTTCTGGGTAGTTAACTTTCTGGGGAGTCAAGAGTTATATGTAGATTTTCAACTGTGTAGAGGTAGGTACCCCTAACCCGCACACTGTTCAAAGGTCAACTGTAATGAAAAACCACTATGAAAAGATATCCACTATATACTGTTAACTGATAAAGACAACTCACATTAAGAGTAGCATAGTAATAAGTTACTTTTTAACAGAAATACATATATACTAGGCATGTGTACACAAAAACGTCCAAGACACTATATGACAAAACATTTATCAATGGTTACCTCTGGAGGGTGGGATTACAGAGGAGTGAAGCTTTCTACCTTATACGTTTCCGTATTAATTTTTACCGTAAACATGTGTTACCTTTATAATGAGAAAAAAATAACATGAAAAATGCACAGGAGCTTGACAGGACCAATATCAATGCCACAACAATGTATTAAGTCCTCTCAAATTTGAACTTGGATTTATCACAAGTCTTAAAACTAAGATATTAAAGGGTGATATTTTTGATCTGTTAATTCCAGAATGTGCCTAAAATCAATTCTGTAGAGAGGATCAACAATCCCAAATTTTAAAAGTCACTGGATTTTGGAAAAGGTCATGTCATCCACTGGACTCTCTCTATATTTTCTGGGTAAGTACCAGATCACTCATCCATTCAAGTTAACCAAAGGTGCTTTGGAAGATACACAGAAAAGTGAGTCTCTATCCTTGCTAAGCTTAATACCCCAGGAAATAAGGAAAAATATAATTTAAAAGATATAAGTAGGAGAAGTATATAATATATATGTGCATAAAGTGGACAAATTGATTTGAGATGTATTTTATCCTGGATTTCAAATCTTTACCATAATAAAACGGAAGACATGAAGAAAACGTTCAGAACTGGCAAGACAGCTATGGACTTCCTCTTCAAATTTCATTCTTTATCCACTACCTTCTATTCTAGAGCTATCAGACAGATATCCTCATTAAATGCTTTTTCTCTGTCTTAATAAAGTTGCTTCTTGCAATCAAGGTAAGGCATGGCTGGAGGTAAGAGGTCTACTGGTAGGAGAAAGCCAAGCTGACAGGATAATCAGTAAAAATTGGGAATACTTAATCCACAGATCCAGGGCGCCTGGGTGGCTCAGTTGGTTAAGCGACTGCCTTCAGCTCAGGTCATGACCCTGGAGTCTGGGGATCTAGTCCCGCATCAGGCTCCCTGCTCAGCAGGGAGTCTGCTTCTCCCTCTGACCCTCTCCCCTCTCATGTGCTCTCTCTCTCTCTCATTCTCGCTCTCTCAAATAAATAAAATCTTAAAAAAAAAAAATCCACAGATCCAAAGGGTTTCCAGTGCAGTTATTGCCAATACTGAGTATGCCAATATCTTACATTACAAGAGCAGTATCTAGCTCCCCAGCTTCTCTTTCCATGGCATTAAAAAAAAGAGCTCAAAGCCTATCATCCTAAGGGTAAGTCTTAAACACTTTTCTTCAAAACATAACCTTTAAAAAAAAAAAAAAGAAGAAATATTTGACTCACAAACCCATATGAAGTATTCATCAGGTTTAGTCCTATTACTTTGTGATTTTATTAAACAGATAGTCTTACCTGCAACTGGGATATCACTATGCACTCGCTTCCAAGTCATTTATAATAATGTTAAATAGGATCATTTCAGGTATCAAAACTGAAAATAGCACTATTTACAATTCTGTCCAGAAAAAAAAATCCCTTTATTACTATTATTTTTCCTGTCTTAAAAGTCACCCCATCATCACATAATGTGCCTTCCCTCTCCAACCAGTCACTGATTGCAATTATATCAAAGGCTTTTAGAAAATCTAAATCACTTACATTTACTTGTTTTCCTGTGGCTACATTATTACCACTTCAAAAATTACACTTAAATTAAGCATCATCTCCCCTGTAATGCTCCTTTAATGTAAGTGTTCAATAATGTACTTCTTTATTAAAGAATCCACCTATTCTAAGGATGCACTAAACCTACCAAATAACTACCCAGTTTACCAGAAAACTGGAAGACTGGATTCAGTGTGACACATAATGAAAGTGATCAATCCTATTTTCTAAACTTCAAATCCCAGTTCAGCAACAAAGATCAACCTCCTCACCCCACACACACAGGAAGTTCTTGGAATCGATACCAAATGATTATACCATACCCCCCCCCAAAAAAAAAAAAAAAACCAAAAAAAAAAAATATATATATATATATATACTTACGCTTCGATGGAACTGTGTAAAGGACTGAATCATGTAGAATCGATGCATGTATACTATAGCAGTGTTGATAGTCAATTGTGAACTAAAACGTTAAAGTTAAGGCCCCAAAACAGGCAGGTAGAACAATTCCCAAAAATACAACCTGTAGGGTGCCTGGGTGGCTCAGTTGGTTAAGCGACTGCCTTCAGCTCAGGTCATGATCCTCGAGTCCCGGGATCAAGTCCCGCATCAGGCTCCCTGCTCAGCGGGGGGTCTGCTTCTCCCTCTGACCCTCCCCCCTCTCATGGCCGCTCTCATTCTCTCTCAAATAAATAAATAAAATCCTTAAAAAAAGAAAATACAACCTGTATATCCTCCCAAAAGGACCATGCAGCCAAGCACAGTACACGCTTCTAAATGAAAATCATACTTAATTTTCCAAATTAAAGAGCAAATCTGTTTTCTTTCACCAAATTATTAACCACCAATTGACACTTAACATAATGCCTTACACACAACGGGTATTCAATGTGTAAATTTGCTGAATTGATAAACAAGCTTCTTAGCACGTGTGGATCGAGGAACCTAAACCTGTCACTTGCCTCCTGAAAATCCTGCAGTGTCTATTCATTAGCTCAGGATATCTCTTCACACGCCTTACAACACCCTTCCTGATCTGGCCCCCAGCTATGACTCTACTATCTCCTCACTTTCTAAGCTCCAGAAATTAACTTTTCAGTCCCACTTGTCTGTGGCAAGTAAGCCTTCTCATATGGTGATCCCAGGGAGCAGAAACATTGTGGAATGATGTGATAGTCATTCATTGACAAAATTTTAAATGCCTTACTTCTAAAGCCCTCAGAAGACAATGTGGGTTATTCAGGGAAGAGGTTGTGGTCCCAAGATGTCAACAACCTTAATAACAATATACACATAAAAAAGGGCTAGATGTACTGAAACAGAATTTCAAACAAAAAGCTTAATTTAGTACTGACCCAATGCTTAGGAAACACACTGGATATCCGCAATAAAGAGGACACCTCTTTTGAGGTGAGCACAACTTTAAGATACAACAAACATACAGCCAGCCACACACTTAAATAGGAGCTGCATCCAGAAATAATTTTTCAGGGAGCGCCTCCGTGGCTCAGTCGTTAAGCGTCTGCCTTCGGCTCAGGTCATGATCCCGGGATTCCTGGGATCCAGCCCCACATCGGGCTCCCTGCTCGGCAGGAAGCCTGCTTCTCCCTCTGCCACTCCCCCTGCTTGTGTTCCCTCTCTCGCTGTGTCTCTCTCTGTCAAATAAATAAATAAAATCTTAAAAAAATAATAATAATAGTAATTTTTCACTGCTAGAACGGAAAGAACTTTAAAACTACATAAGCTTTCTCTGCTGCAAGATGAGTGCATTTTCTGACAAAAATACTTGAAGGGGAAAAAAAATCACTAAATTACCTGATCTTTGAAATGTAAAGAAAACAAATACACGTTAGAACTCTGAGTAAAAAATCAACAGTTTGTAAATGGTTTTTTAAAACTTTAGATCCCTGGGTCTATATCCTTACCAACAGAAACTGACATCCTTCCTTCCTCTTAAATTCTATAAAGTTTTAACAGTAGCTACCATTTGAACATGAGTGTCAAGCATTTTCTTAGGCATAGAAATTACGTGCATGGTTTATCACTCCATTTTACAGACTAGAAAACCAAGAATTTGACAGATTTCTTAAACAGCTAGTAAGTTGAAGGAACGGATTTTGAACCATAGCTGGGGCACTGATTCTAAGCCACCCTCTCTTCATAAGTAAGACCTACAGGTCTTGAATTTCTCAAAACTCTTTACACGCTAAGTTCAAGGGGCAGCCATCAACAGTGAAACCTCCACCAAACCCCTAGGGAATAGCGGAAAAGTAAAATTTCTAAGTCACCAGACCTAGAGACCAGAACACAACGAAAGGGGACTAGGAAGGGCTGGTTAAAACACAAGCTGCGAAGGATACGAATTCCCAGCAAAGCTGGTGGCACTGGCAGGCGAGCGGGAAATTAACTCCGCCTCGCTTCCGCGGCGCAAACACTGAATTTCAGCCCGCCCCAACGGAGTCTCTCCCACCTAGACATTCAGCCCCTGCCCACCCGCTTCCCTCTTCCGTCCCTGACAGAGCCTGAGGCCTGGACGCCCGAGCAAGGCGGGTCTGACTCCAAGGCCGGAGGCCTAGGCCGCAAGGATACACGTTAAGACGTTGTCCCATGTCCTGGAGCAGATTGGCCGCCTGCTGGCGATGAGAAAGTTCTTTATCTGGGTCCAGGCCAAAACGACGGGATGGGCTATTTTCCAGCTGTTCTCGAGTAAAATACCACCGTTTGTTGTTGTTCTTCCTCTCTCCCTCCATAGTGCTTCAACCAGAAGGCAGCGGCGGAGGCTGCAAGCACTTCCCAGCGTCACCTAAGCGGCGACACACATCCGCTCTGCGGGGGCAACTGCGACGTGACGAACTTCCGCTAAAAGGTGGACGGCTAGGTTGTGACAGGCTTCCGCAAAGGAGAGAGAGTTAAAGAGTCTACTTCCGGAACGGGCCTCGCAACAACCTGTCACCGAGTTAACAGCCACTAAGCCACCAGGAAAGACCTTGAGTCTAGGACGCAGGCGCCAGTCATGTGACCCTTGGGAGGGGGTAGAAGTTCTTGTTCGAAACCACGCTTCCTCCCGCGAGAGCTGGGTTTAGCTTTCGCGTGGTGGACGAGGTGGCGAGGCAACTGTTGTGGCGGGGTAAGGCGCCCGCCCACGCGCCCCTCGGCGGCTCCTCGGAGAATTTCGTTTGTCGCGGAGGTGGTGGTATAAAATGGGGGAGATAGCGAACTTGACAGAACCGGTGAGACTGTCAAAAACTGAAAAAAGTAATCAAAGAGAGTGTCCCTGTCGTATATGGTAATATAAAGCAACTAGAAAGCTCTTACGTTGTTGGTAGCAGTGTAAATTACCCATTTGCAAAGCCGCTTTACAACGTTTATCTAAAGCCTTGAAAAAATTCTTATGCTTCGCCACAGTGATTCAACACAAGGGAATGAAATTTAATTAATAGTGTTAATTTAGTGCTTATCATGTTCCAGGCACACTGTTGACTCTTAAATATAGTATTTCATTTAAAAGGCACAACCCCTGGAGGTAGTAACGTTTCAATTCCCGTTCTGTGGACGAGCGAACTAAAACTGCTCCTTCATTGTGTAAAGCTTCCACCTCCACCTTGCACACGTAAGAACTTGTAAGTTACTGTCCTCCCATCAGATACCCCAGCTGAACGCCTGATGCCTGTTTGAGCCTGGGCAAGATACCTAACCTCTTTGTGCCTCTTGTATAAATGTAAATGATAACAATAGTACCTACGTTTTAGGTTGTGAGGATTAAATAAGATATAATTAATTAAAAGCCTTTATAATAGTACCTAGCACATAGGAACATAGAAAACATTCAGTAGATGTTATCATAGTATTTATTCTATTATATTAAAATTTGAGTTGTATGCATAGCACCTACCTAATACAGTCCTGGCCCTAGTAGTTAATAAATGTTTGTCGAATAAATGCTCACAACACACTACAATAAAGAAACCGGGGCTTGGGGAAATTAAGTAGTTTGCCCTACACTACACTGCTTGTTAAGTGTTGATTTTTATTTTATTTTTTTTTTTAAGATTTATTTATTTATTTTGAGAGAGTGAGAATGAGAGAGAGAGAGAGTACATGAAAGGGGGGAGGGTTAGAGGGAGAAGCAGACTCCCCGCTGAGCAGGGAGCCCAATGTGGGACTCGATCCCGGGACTCCAGGATCATGACCTGAGCCAAAGGCAGTCGCTTAACCGACTGAGCCACCCAGGCGCCCCGAGTGTTGATTTTTAAATCAAGTCTAATTCCATTGTTCTTTCCATTCTAGCAAACTGTATTCCTGCTTTCCTGAAACAATTTACCTTGATTAAACTGGGGTAGTATTAGAATCCTTTGTCTTTTATAATATTTTGAGTTTTTTCATTTTAGACATGGCTGCTCCCACTCAGTTTGATTCTAATTCTCAGACGTATTCCCTTCCATTTCAGGCCCTCCTTTGCCATATACTACCTATAATTAGCATTAGCTACATTTTACTCCAGAAAAATTGAGGTTCAGGAAGATTTAAATGACTTATTTCAGGTTATAACATGTAAAAAATTTATGATTTCCAACTTCTAACATCTTGTTTCTTTTAACAGAATAAGCATTTTTTTTCCAATTATGTAGTCATATTTTTTTAAAAGATTTATTTATTTATTTGAGAGAGAGAATGAGCTGGGGGGAGGGGGAGAAGCAGACTCCCTGCTGAGCGGGGAGCCTGACCTGGGGGCTCAATCCCAGGACCCTGGGATCATGACCTGAGCCAAAGACAGACGCCTAACCAACTAAGCCACCCAGACGCCCCTGGTTCTCCACTTAAACTCTTGGATTGATGGCTCCATTTTGAATTTGCTCTCCTGGCTGAGTATACCAATTTTCCAAGAAAAAATTCTGTTATCTTAAGCTCTAGGCAATGCAGGTGGTAATCAATGGCTTACTATCCTGCCTGTGTAACTCAGAGAAAGGAAATATTCTTTGAGAGGATAAATATTTGAAAGTAGGAGGCAGTAATAACAATTGCTAAACAAGAGTTTTGAATCAGGCCTGGACTCATCCCAGCTATTTTTTTATTTTTTGAAACCCTCAACTATCTCTATGTGTACAGTTCCACAGGTCAGCTATATTCACATTGTTATGTAACAGGTCTCCACAACTTTTTCATTTTGCAGATCTGAAACTTTGTCTATATGCTTCATTCCCCCTCTCCCAGCCCTGACACCTCCCGTTCTACTTTGTGTTTCTATGAGTTTGACTGCTTTAGATATCTTATGTAAGTAGAATCATACAGTGTTTGTCTCTGTGACTGCCTTATTTCACTTAGTATAATGTCCTTAAAATTCCCGCTCTTCTTTTAACTAGCTGTGTGATTTTTTTAAAAGATTTTATTTATTTATTTATTTATTTATTTATTTATTTATTAGAGAGAGAGAGCACCTTCAGGGAGAGTGGGAGAGGCAGAAGCCGACTCTCTGCTGAGCAGGAAGCCAGACGTGGGGCTCAATTTTAGGGCCCCAAGATCACGACCTAAGCTGAAGGCAGACGCTTAACTGACTGCGCCACCCAGCTGCCCTTAGCTGTGTGATCTTAAATGTCATCTCTGCATCCTGATGGGACACCATCTGGCACACAGTAGGTGTTCAGTACATGTTTATTGTCAAAATAATGTTAACCTTCAGATAAATTGCCCTTAAAGAACAACTGACAAAATCTTAAACTAGAGGAATTTTCCTTTTTTTTCTCTTCTGTTTTTTAATTTAAATAGGACTCTGGGGCGCCTGGGTGGCTCAGTTGGTTAAGCGACTGCCTTCGGCTCAGGTCATGATCCTGGAGTCCTTGGATCGAGTCCCGCATCGGGCTCCCTGCTTGGCGGGGAGTCTGCTTCTCCCTCTGACCCTCCCCCCTCTCATGTGCTCTCTCTCTCTCTCATTCTCTCTCTCAAATAAATAAAATCTTTAAAATAAATAAATAAATAAATAAATAGGACTCTGTTTCCTATAAAAGAAACCTATCAGGCTACTTTTCCTATTCACTGGACTAATCTTGTTGTGGATACAGGATTATACCATATTTCATGGTTTGATCTTATTTTGCATTGTGCTTATGTCATATTTCAGCCATATCAAACATTACCATCTACTACTGTTAAAATAATTTCTTTCCAATATTTATATAGTCTCCAAATTAAAGCATGAAAAGATGGTGTGCCATTTGTAACTATTCCCAATTCCACGTTCAGTTGATGTCATACTGATAGTTTGAAATTGGCCATGGTGTGGGTGTACTGGTAAATTATTAACAACCAGCTATCCAGAAAATAATTGTATCTGTATTTATACATACATAATTTCAAACATGAACTTACTGATATAAAGGATGTGTAGCACACATTTATAAAAAATATACAATCTTTATTATAAATTTCTTATAGCCAGTTGATTCTCATAGAATGCTTTTGCTCAGTTTTGCCAACTTGATTCAATAACCAACCTGTGATTGCATTTGACAAATGAGAATAGTTTTTTTTTTCAAAGATTTATTTATTTATTTGAGAAAGGGAGAGCATACAAAGGAGGAGCAGAGGGAAAGAAAGAGGGAGAGAACCCCAAGCAGACTTCCTACTGAGCACAGAGCCCCATGCAGAGCTCGATCTCAAGACCCTGAGATCATATGTGACCTGAGCCGAAATCAAGAGTCAGATGCTTAACAGACTGAGCTACCCAGGCACCCCAGCAAATGAGAATAGTTTTGACTGTTGGTTGACATTTGCATTTGCATTAATCAGTAAGATAAAAGTGAAACAATAAGGGGCCAAGCATGGAGCCTGCTTAAGATTCTGTCTCTCCCTCTCCCTCTGCCCCTCCCCTCTCCAAAAAAAAGTGAAACAATGAGACTTACGTTGGAACTTATTTGTCAGTGATTGAGCAACATCTTTGCTGAATTGGATAATAGTTTTTGAAAACCGGAAGAACCTTTCAATTTTTTGTGCTCTTGACAATGTAATGGGCATAGACACGACATACTTTTAAACTTAATCTACATTATTTACATACTAAATCAAGCTTTTGTTTGCAGCATTTACCATTTCTGTAGTCTAAATTCTCCCGTTATGGCCAGTTTCAAGCTACCAACATGACATCACCGAGCATGGACTTGGGAAGAGATGAACACACCATCACACAATATTTCCTCCATATAGATACAATAGACAGGGACTTCTGGTTTCCAGTCTGATATGTAAAGAGCTTGGAAGTCATTGCTTCTGTTCTTATAACAACAACAAAAAAAAACCTGAATAAACTGAAAATCATCAACCCTTGTTAGATCGGGCAGAGAATTAAGGGGACAGGGCAAACCTCTACCACAAAACCTGGAGAGACAGGCAGAATCAGAAGAGGCAGAACAGAGACCCATGGCTTACTGAGAGCAAAAACTACTATTGAAACCAGCAACTGATAGGAATACATAAAAGGCAATTGACTAATTGCTGGAGACTGAACTTGGCCTAGATTGAGAGACCAAAAGCAAACAAACAAAAAAAAACCTTTTGAGGGCCCCCACACTTTTATGAGTTTTACTTCCAGGAGCCCCATAGGTCTTAACTATGAAGATTGGAGAAAAATCCCCGTGTCCTTCTGGGAGAGAAAGGGAAAAAAGAGCTACTTAGACCCAGAGAATTCAGTTGTCCTTAACAAAAGCCTGTCCTCAGTGGAAGCTACTTAACAGAGCCTAACCAATGTAGGAAAAGGAAAATAACCAACTCCAGCATTTGTAAGGGTCACAGTCTGGAGGGGACACAAGCTCACTAAAAAACTGAGACCTGATATGATTATAAAGCACTTTCCTCACCTGCCCCCCTTAACAACACATCAGTAGATCTATATAATAACGGGATTACAACAGAAAGAACTACAAACTCAGACCCATTTAAGGAGTGTGTAAGGAAACCCAAAGACAACAGGCGAGACAAAGACGTCAGAGGAAATTTTAGCCTCTGATACCTACAGCCATAGCAAACAGGAAACAGCAACCAAACTCGCAAACAGGAAACAGCAACCAAACTCGCAAACAGATAAACGTAAAACATCCATTCCTTTTACCCAATATGTCATGTCTAGCTTCCTGCAAAAAAAATTATAAGGCACGCTAAAAGGCAAAAAATACAGTCTCAAGAGACAAAGCAAGTATCAGAACCAGAGTCATGGCAGAAATTTTTGGAATTGTCAAACTGGGAATTTAACTGATTAATATGCTAAGAACTCTAATGGAAAAAGTGGACAACATGCAAGAATAGATGAGTAATGAAGCAGAGAGATGAAAACTAAGAATAAAAAGGAAATGTTAGAAATAAAAAACCCATAACAGGGTTGCCTGGCTGGCTCAGTCAGTAAAACACGTGACTCTTGATCTTGGAGTCGTGTGTTCAAGCCCCAGGTTGGGCCTAGAGCTTACTTTAAAAAAAAAAAAAAAACCCACTTGGAAGGAAATGAATGCCTTTGATGGGCTTATCAATACACTGGACACAACCAAGGAAAGAATCAGTGAGTTTGAAGATACATTAATCAGTTGGGAAGACAACTTCCCAAACTGAAAAGCAAAGAGAAAAAAGAATAAAAACAGCAGAATATACACATACAATAGATATAACTTCATGAGCATAGATAATAGTAAAATGTAGTAAAATAATTAGAAAGAGATGAGTTTTCAGTATTTACTACTTTTATTTTTCATATTTATTAAATTGTAAGTTTAGATAATTTTAAATAATGGCTTGTTTAACAACCAGCTTGCAAAATTCCTGAAAATTTAAGAGGCAGCTCAAAAATCAGTATGAACTGATTCAGCACACCACTGCTTGAAATAACTTAAAGACTCATCAGAAGTACCATATTCACATTTAAATACTGTTTATGTTTCCATTATATGCTGAACACTATGCTAAGGAAATCTGCATATATTATCTCATTTAATTCTTATGACTCTGAAATAGATACCATTGCCATTTTTTAAAATAAACAGGCTTAACCTATTCAAACTCAGATACTGAGAATATGGCAAAACTAATATTTGAGCCCAGGTCAGTGCTCTTTCTATTCACTGCCTTCTGAAACTTACAGTATAAAAAAGACTGGGGCAAGAAAAAGGGTAACTGGCACTTGATACCTCCGTTTTTCTGAAGTTATTTAGCCCACTCCCACTCTAGCTCTGCTGTGAACCCATAAATCCTGTGCCTCCTTAGACAAAGGGAGTGTTAGTCATAGTAATTCTTTAGGGCATTACCATGGTTACCAAACACAGAGTCCAGTGCTCCAGCCTGAATGTTCCAGAAGAAGACAGGGAAGAGCTGAGATGGCCTTCTTCAACTTATATCTGTTGGGATATCAAAATTCCTTTCGGAACAAGAAAAGGGACACAACTGAAGAAACAAGTAAGGGGAATATAGGGTAGAGGATTAGAAGAGCTTCTTGGCCATTTCCTTTTCTACCTTGAGTTAGAGCTTTATCGCCCATAATTAACAATTACACCGGTCACCAGTTAAAATTATGGAGTAGGGAGATTATCCATTGAGTTTCCCTCTTCTGTCATTTAATATCCATATTAAGACATTCAATCTGTTTAACTGAATAAATGTTCATTATTATTCATTTGCTCATTTAGTTAACATTTACTAAGTACAGTTTTGTGCCAGGCTTTCTGTTGGTGACTGGGGATGGATGGGATAAGATCGCTGCCATAAAGTGGCTGTTGGATAAAGATAAATATGCAAACAAAAAATTTGCAATATAGTTTATGAATAAATTAAATATGGTAAATTAAATATGGAATACTGTGGGACCACAAAAGAGGAAGTACCTGATACTATTGGATTTGAATGAGCACAGGAGAATCCTTTAGAAAAGACTTCACACAATGCTGCCAGGATGATGGGAGTTCGCCAAGTAGACAAAAAGGGAATATTGCACAGACCAAGGAACAGAAGGTTGAGGAAGAGCCATATTCATTGAACTCTAAGTCCTTGGGTACAGATAAAGTGTAAAGAAGACAGGTGCTGGGAAGTAAGCCTTGTAAACTTGGCAGGGGCCAGAAAATTGAAGCTGCTGTTAGCCATGCTAAGCATTTTAATTTTATAGGGAACCACTGAAGGATTTTTAATAGGCAGTGAGTAAATATCTGATTGTATTATACCCACAATGCCTAGCAGTGCCTAATACATAATGCTCTAATGCTCTAATACATAGAGATTTAATAAATACTTGTAGGTAAAAAATTAATAAATGATATTTGAATGGCTAAAACAGGAAGTTAGAGGAGGCTTTGGAGGAGATGTGACAATTGGTTAAGGTCTTAAAAGATAAATTGTTTGAGGGCGCCTGGGTGGCTCAGTTGGTTAAGAGACTGCCTTCGGCTCAGGTCATGATCCTGGAGTCCCGGGATCGAGTCCCGCATCAGGCTCCCTGCTCAGCAGGGAGTCTGCTTCTCCCTCTGACCCTCTTCCCTCTCGTGCTCTCTATCTCTCATTCTCTCTCTCTCAAATAAATAAATAAAATCTTAAAAAAAAAAAAAGATAAATTGTTTGAAAGCACAGAAATAGAGGAGAAAGGGTATTTCCAACAGAATGGAGAACATATGTGAAAGAAATAAAGTGTAGGCAGGTACTAAAGCAAAGTTTTATTGGGCTGAAGGTACGGGGTAACTGGTAAGTATAAAACAGTTAAGATTGAGAGAGACTAATATTGTATAAGACTCTATTAGGCACTTTCTATCCTTTTTCTAATGACAACAAAGCTCTGTTTTACATATCCAGCTTTCAGGTAAGGTTTGTATAAAGGGTCCCACTGGTGGACCCTAGAAATCCCCCTAATAGCCCCACACCAGCCCTCCCCCGTTGGTCCCCACCTGTCCCAGCATTATGCCACGGGGCTGCTATTGTCTCCAAATAAGAAGCTCTTCACCCTCTCTCAGAGAAACACACTTGACCTACTCCATAAATTTTCCTTGTTTCAAGAATAGGCCTCTCCTGGCTGTTCCAACCCTGCCTGCCCCTACCAGATGGGACTTCTCACTATGAGAGAACTGAGCACCAAGCCTGGGGTTTTCCTACCCAGTTAGCTACCTAAACTCTAGTAAACAAGACTTGGTACCAATCCAAAGAGGTCTGAGTCTCATTTCTAATTAATTTCATTGTAGGCTGGGCAGAGAGAAAGACTTCACTTTATTAAAGTATGGCGTAGGGGCACCTGGGTGGCTTAGTAGGTTGAGCACCCAACTCTTGATTTCAGCTCAGGTCATGCTCTCAGGGTCGTGAGATCAAGCCCCATATCGGGCTCTGTTCTCAGTGAAGAGTCTGCTTGAGATTCTCTGCCTCTCCCTCTGCCCCTTACGCTCACTTGCACATGATCTCTCTCTCTGTTCTCTCTCTTCAAAATAAATAAATAAAATCTTTAATAAAAAAATTTTTAAAAATAAAACTATGGGGTAATAGGAAATATCCTGATATCATCTGCTTGCCCAATTTTTTTTCATTCCAGTGGCAGACTATCAGAGGCTGGAGGTTTGGCCAAACTGTTGGCCTAAAATGTAAGGTTAGAAGGAAGACTGGACATCAAATTTGTCACCCCTACAAACTGTTCCCCCTCCTCCCTCAATTATACCCTCGGCTTACTTCAAGATTTGGACAGAGGAGGTCCACTTGCTGACTTCTATTTAAAATCCCTAATTTTGGGGCACCTGAGTGTCTCAGTCATTAAGCATCTGCCTTCAGCTCAGGTCATGATCCCAGGGTCCTGGGATCGAGCCCCGCATTGGGCTCCCTGCTTGGCGGGAAGCCTGCTTCTCCCTTTCACACTCCCCCTGCTTGTGTTCCCTCTCTTGCTGTCTCTCTCTGTGAAATAAATAAAATCTTTTAAAAAAATAAAATAAAATCCCTAATTTTGTTGGTTCAAGCACTTAATAATATGAAGCTATCTATTTAGTATGTAACTGTATGCCAGGCATTGTGCTGAGCATTCCACATGCCTGATTCCATTTAATTCTCTCAACATGCCTGTGAGGTAGGTATTACTAGTCCCTTTTTACCAATAAAAGGCTCAAACAGGTTAACACAAGGTCAGTGATAGAGCCAGAATTTGACTCCACATTACTGCTTGTGCTCACTTTTAAACGGTAATGGGGGGCGCCTGGGTGGCTCAGTCGTTAAGCATCTGCCTTCGGCTCAGGTCATGATCCCAGGGTCCTGGGATTTAGCCCCACATCGGGCTCCCTGCTCAGCGGGAAGCCTGCTTCTCCCTCTCCCACTCCCCCTGCTTGTATTCCTGCTCTTGCTATCTCTCTCTGTCAAATAAATAAATAAAATCTTTAAAAAAAAAAAAAAAAATTTTAAAAAAAAAAAAAAAAACAGTAATGGGGACAAATGACACAGGTCTTTTGCTGTGAACAGGGCACTATACAAGTGATTGATGATCAGCCTTTCTAGGAAAATCTGTTAACTCCTAAACCCTGAATTTGAATGTCAGGTGGGCTTTATATAAAGTTGTTCACTATTCCCTAACAGGCGGTTCTCAAGATTCCCAGGAGCCCACCATTCACTGAAACTGAATGGTAACTTTTTGCTCAGCTAATGGGGAGAATTGTTGACTTGGGAACTCTTCCATGGAGTCAGTGTCTTATAACCTTCTCTCATAGCCTCTGGACAACTTCCCAAGAAAGTTAAAATTCTCCAGCCTCAGAGTGGTGTTCTGCAAGCATGGGAAAAAGTAACTGGGTGGGTTCCTCCTTCTCTTTGTCTCTCATGCACACACATCACAGAGTCGTCATTATGTGGTCTATTATCTGCAGATATCAAAACAATAGTTTGATGTTTTCTGTGCTTAAAACTCAAACTTTACTGGAGTTACTGGTGAAACCCAGTGCTAGAAGTTTATCCACATCTTATTGCTCCATAGAAAACTAGGAAGTTTCACTTCTGGGACAAGAATTTAGTGAAACCACCATTTGACAAGGCAACTACTACACTGATTCCATCTTTCCAAGAGGCATCTGACCCTGGAGTGTGGCTAACCTAATCAACACCCATAAACTCCTGACCACCAACTACAAATCCCTGGCATAAACCTGCTAATAGATATCAAGCTAGCACGTTCAGATCAGTTAATAAGTACTATATAATGCAAGTTGAATATAATTACAGTTGACCCTTGAACAACACAGGGGTTAGGGGCACTGACCCCCCACATAGTCAAATATCTGCATATAACTTTTGACTCCCCCAAATTTTTTTTAAAGATTTTATTTATTTATTCATGAAAGACAGAAGGAGAGAGAGAGGGAGAGAGAGAGAGAAGCAGAGGGAGAAGCAGGCTCCCAAGGAGCAGGGAGCCCGATGCGGGACTCAATCCCAGGACCCTGGGATCATGACCTGAGCCGAAGGCAGATGCTTAACCATCTGAGCCACCCAGGCACCTGACTCCCCAAAATTTAACTACTAATAACCTACTGTTGACCAGAAGTTTTACCAAGAACATAAATTGTCCAATTAACACATATTTTGTATATTTTTTATATGTTCTTACAGTAAAGGTAAAGAAAAGAAAATGTTATTAAAATAATTAAGAGGGGGCACCTGGGTGGCTCAGTCAGTTAAGCCTCTGACTTCAGCTCAGGTCATGATCTCAGGGTCCTGGGATCGAGCCCTGTGTCAGGCTCCCCACTCAGCGGGGAGCCTGCTTGTCCTTCTCCCTCTGCCCCTCCTGCCATTCAAGCTCTCTCTCCCTCTCTCGCTCAAATAAAATCTTTAAAAAAAAAAAAAAAAGAAAATCATAAGAGAAATTACATTTACAATATTTAATTTTCTTTTGTTGTAGTGTATTTATCAAAAAAACTCCACGTAGGGATGCCTGGGTGGCTCAGTCAGTTAAGTGTCTGCCTTCGGCTCAGGTCATGATCCCAGGGTCCTGGGATCGAGTCTCAGATTGGGCCCCTTACTCAGCAGGGACCCTGCTTCTCCCTCTCTCTCTCTGTTGTACAGTAGACTCTTAGATAGTTGGTCAAAGATTATTACATTGTAAATTGGGAAATCAAGAAAAGATACATACCTTATACATTTTAGTTTCACTTAATATGTGTAACTGTAGATTCACCAGTTTTATATGGTGCCAATTCCATTTCTTTGAAAATGTGTCTATTGATGAGTACCATGGCCTCTTTTGCCCCCATAGTGCATCATGTATAATTTCTGTTTGTGTCTATTTAAAGTGGAGTCAAGCATTTGCAAAGCAAACTTATTTTTCAAACCTTTTAGTTATCTTCTTCATGTCTAATCAGAAGTATTTAAAAGTTATTTATAATTCTTGGGGCACCTGGGTGTCTCAGTTGGTTAAGTGTCTGACTCTTGGTTTTGGCTGAGGTGGTCATCTCAGGGTCATGGGATCA